GCAAAAAGAATATCATTTTTCATCGATTCATTCAGACGTGAAACAAAGTTTATTCGAATCATAAATCTGTACAAGATATCTAAATAAGAATAGAGCAAACACTTATATCATTTGACTATTTTAGTTGAACGGTTTGTATACATATCTTCTACTCTTCTGTTCTCCTGTTCGAATCCACCTCTTAACTTTATCGAAACTAATGTAAGTTAACTCTATAATTCTATGAATTAATGTAAATCAGTATATGGATCGCACCTGCAAGTTGAGTTCTACGAAGTACGTGACGGGTTTGTTTTTTTCTATCCTTCAAAGTATGCAATACCATAGATTCAGAAACACTGCGAAATGATTTTAAGAAAAAATCGTTTCGCAACGTTTATTTTAGCATATGTGAAACGCGTTAAACCGGCCAGCATTAACGCGTTTTGCAGCTATGAAAAAACGCGTTTTCAGAACGCGTTTTTTTCGCAAAAATTTACGCCATGGGTTGAGTATCTAAATAGAAAAGCTATAGTGCGATGTTGAAGAGTTAGGTTTTAGTAGATACGTACATGTGAAAATGACAATGGATTTTTTAATAATGGATAACCAATAAGAATAAATGTACGAATATGATGACCTGTACCACCATCTGGAGAATGAACTAAATTTGTACGATTGGTTGATGTAGTAATAATACAATCTATATAGAAATTGTGATGCGATGTTGAATTGTGTGTTTTTAATGAATACTTACATATGAAGTTTAATATTGATTTTTGAATAATGAAGAACGAATTATATGAACTTGTAACTGGATCACCACCTTTACCGTGTGTAGCGTAATGCACTTGAATAGTTGTATTAGTTGGTGTTAAAATAATTCGGTCTGTAAATAGAGAACTTATAATGAGATGTTTAGTAATGGATTATTAGTGAATGGTTACATATGAAAGTTATCATATGTTCTTAATAGCTAATAATACCTGTGAGAATTTCATGAAGTGTACCACGATGAGCATCATTTCTTTGATTTGTACGGTTTGTTGATTCGGTTTTAATTGAGTCTATAGACTGAGAAATTAGAATGCGATGTTTAGTATTTGGATTTGAAGAAAACTTACATATGATGTTGAACATATATTTTAATATTTGTAAATAATGGATAATAATGAATGTAATAATATTAAGATGTGTACCACAATGAGCATTATTTACTGGAGTTGTACGATACATTGTTTTAAAAATAATTAGTTGTCTATATGGATAAATTATAATGCTATGTTGAATACTTTTTTTTAATAAATACTTACATATGAAAGTGAACATGTTGTTTTAGTAATAAATAGGTAATTAGAATATCTATAGCAATATCATGACCTGCTTCACTATTAATATGATTTAGTTAATTTGTATCATTGCTTGTTGTGAGAATAATTGAATCTCTGTATAGATAAATTATACGGCGATGTTCAATAGTTAGTGTTTAATGAATACTTACATATGAAAGTAAATATGGAGTTGTAATAAGAAATAGTCGGTTATAATAACTTTATAAATACCATATCCTGTACCACCATGAATATCATTAAGTCTATTTGTATCACCAGTTGACATGTTATATGAAAACGTTTCTGAAAAAAAAAGAAAAATAAAATATAAGTAGTTGGTTGTGAGAAGTGTTCATTTAAATGATCACGTTTGTGTAGTTTCCAATTTTTCTTTCGATTCCGGTCAATCTTACGTCTTATTCTCTGTGTCATTAATTAGAGAGATAGTTTATGATTGTGTCCTCATATTAAGTGCTATATTTCAAAGAAAATTGTATTGATTGTTTTGTATACTTGCTAGTATTGCGTTGTTATTATTTACCTCGTTTTCAGTGCATGACACTTTCTGATGGGGGTATGTGTTTCTTGTTTCTTTTCTCCAACGTTTGCACTCTATAATCCTCTCTCATTTCGACTTATTACGCAGTTTTTATTTTATAATAATTATTGCGCAGTTTTTATTTTATAATATTTATTGCGTAGTTAGAAAGTTCACATATATATTGCGTCATGCACTTTCTTATCTATGTTTTATTGCGCATGTACATATTATAGGGATGACCTGTGAATCATTGTCTTCTCTCCTTTGTCGTCAAGTGTTTTTATTGATTTTTTTTT